GTTCTGGGTCGCCGGCCTCCGGGCTCTAAGGAGATGCCTGGACTGGAGAGGAGTGGGTAGCGGGGCGAGGCGGGAACCCCGAGGACTCTCCCTCTGCCCCGCCTCCCAGCCCCTAGGGACAGACGGCGCTCGGAAAGTTGAGAAGAGCTCCGGGTGGGGTCAGCAAAGGGCCGCTGCTGCCCTCCGGTGGTCACCCAGCCACCTGTGTCTACACCACCTGGGACCTCCCGGAAAGCAGGACTAGGAGAGGGCGGCCTCCTGGATGCCCGAGGAGGGGGCTGCGAAAGAGACCTATCGTCTTCCCCTAAAACCTTTGCGGAATGAGTCCGGTCCAACACCATCCCCCACCTTGAGAACTTTTCAGAACCTTCGAGACCTGGGCCACCGTTCCACTTCAGTTTCCTTCCTTCTCCTGACCTGGAATTTCCATGAGTCCAGTTCCTACCTACCCCTCAAAGGGCGCTAGTAGAAATCCGGATCCGCAGCTGGGCATTCAGTTCCCACCGTAATAGCATTTTCTGTGCTGACAGGGACATTTTCGCCCAGTCTGACTTGACACATTGGGTATTTACCCACACGTGTGTCTCCAACCCAGTCAGGTGGCCGGAGGATTACCGTCTATTAACATTTCATTAGCTTGTGTTTGGTACACTACATAGCTCTGCCCTTTTACTACTCATCGCAGATTTTGGGGGGGGCTAAGTATACCCATTCTCTTTTGCCTAGAAGGAAACTGAGCCACAGAGAAGTGGCTTGCCCCAATTTTTGCGATATGTATGTGACGGAACAAGACTTCAGACACTGGGGCCTGTCTGGCTCCAAAGCTGGCTCCCTGCTGGTTCCTATGCTCCTCCAACCTGTCCCTTCCTGCAGCCTAGCACGGTGGGTGGCACATAATAGGTGTTCAACAAATATTTGCTGAATGAATGAATGTTGGAAGTCACGTGGACGTTAGAGATCTGAAGTGCAACTCACACACTTGGTAAATGAGGAAACCGAGGGCCAGAGCGCTTTGGTCCCCAGGCCTCTCAACCCGCTCACTCAACATTTACCGAGTGTGAACCAAGAGCTGTGTGCTCAGTTCAGATCAATTTCTGCCAAAGCACATAGTCTAAATTCAGAAAAAGACAACTTAAAGCTAGCTAACAGTTATCGAACCCTGATTATATGGGCCTGGCTCTACCTGTGTGAACTGTTACACAGGAGGCAGTCTTTGCGGAGGAGGCATGCGTGGAGGTGAGACTGTTCTGGTGTACTTTTCACCACAACCCAGAGAACTTTTTGTTGCCTTTTGGTTTTGTGGGCACCAGGCCCAGCTGAATCCAAGGCCTGGCTGGTCCCAGGTCTGGCTGTGATCCAGGCCCGCAGCTAGGAATGGGACCCTGGATTTAAAATGTTCCATTAGTGTAGTAGGGCGCCTGCGCCTAAAATACATAAACATACTTCAGCTTATTGTATCACGCATATGTGGCTAAAAGTTACTATTGTACTCTGCTATGTGTGGAGCCATGTGGTCCCCTGGAGAGCAGAAGGGGAGCACAAGAAGGGGAGCACAAGAAGGGGAGCATAAGAAAGGGGAGCAGAAGAATTCTGTGTGCGCAATACCGCCCCGCCCCCGCCCCCCGCAGTAGACTGCACTTCCCAATAGGACTGTGCTCCCTGAAAGCAAGTTGGTGCCTGCCATTGCATTCTGATGTTGTCTCCTGTGCATTCTTCCAACTGGGCATCTCACCATCAGACCTTCCCTTCTCGATCAGCTTGGTGCTGACACTTGGCATAGTCGATGGGATCGGCGTGCCGGTGACAGGTTTCTAGTCAAATATACACATTTTTATCCATCTGGTTGATTTGCCAACGGCTATAACTTTGGATCTGGCACCGCTTCTTCAGTTAAACTTACAATGAAAGGAGGTCAAAACAGTTTCAGACTTTGGGTTGGGAGAGGGGTAAGTGTGGGATACCCAGCTTTGAAGGACAGGCGAAGTGTTCAAGGTGATGTGTAGGTTTTAAATGGGTTGGAGCTACTAAAGGCCTACAGAGTCACAAAAACCCCAGGAGGGTAGTGGCAGTGGTGACAGACTGGGCTGGAGGAGGAAACGGTGGCCAGATCATGAAAACCCTTACATGCCACACTAGAGAGTTGAGTGTTGATTTTGGTCTAGGTGTAGTAAGAAGCCACTGAAATGTTCTCTCAGGGGAATAACCAACTCAGATTCGCACTGCAGAAAGGTCACTCTGTCATGCCCACGGTATATTGGGGGAAACAGGGGCATGGCCTGGAGACAGAGTTAGGAGATGAGTTAGGAGGCTAATGCAGTAAAGAATTACGGTACTAAGGTATTGACGGTAGGGGTGGAGATAAGTGGACAAATATAAAAAACGGTTCTATATAATCGACAATACTTAGTGGCTGATTAGCTTGATGAGGAAGATGTAGGAGCCAAAGGTGACCAACTCCAAGGTTTCTACCTTGAGCAGCTGAGCTGGCGCCCACTGAGATGACGAACCAGAGGCACATGTTTGCCCAGGAAACGATGAGTTCAGTCTGAGGTATGTTCCGCTGAAGTGCCTGTGGGATGCCTAGATGTTCAAGAGAGGACTGGGATGTGAGGGTCTAAAGCTCCGGAGAGGTCTGGCTGGAAACGCTGACTTAGACGACACCAGCGGATGACTGGAACCACAGAACGGATGAGAGTGTGGTGGGGGGACGAGCGGAGGGCAGACGAACGAACCCTGGAACACTACAACCTTAAGACTGTCCTGGTGTACCTTCCAGCACCCCAAAGAGCTTTTTGTTGCCTTTCAGTTTCTAGTCAAAGTAGATAAACACACACATTTTCATCTATCTGGTTTATTTGCCAATAGCTATAATTTTGGATCCGATATGCCTTCTTCAGTTAACTGCCATGAAAGGTCCGGAAGACAACCTCAGACTTTGGGTTGGGAGAGGGGTAAGTGTGGAGAGGC